CCCATCGCCTGTGTACAACAGCTAAACCTTCTGTTATATAGCTATTTCTGTGTTGCTGCTATAAACGCACCTACTATTCTTCAATAATCATAATTTATTAAATAGTACTGTCGTTGGCCATTTTGGAAGTGGTATGTCAACTTTGTCTTATCTTTTTTCCTTATTTCCTCTTGTTATGTTGATGACTGATGTTTTTGCAAGTACTGCAACTACTACATCCATGTCGATTATAAATGTGTACAGAACTTCTATGGGCTGGTGCAGAGCATGCACAGACCAGTGCGACCACACAATGTGCAAGTATATCTCTGCCTTTACAGCACAGTTTACCAGCAGCATGTGGCTTTACACTTTGTTTGTTTTGCATCAAACAACACAAGCTGCCCCCCATCTTTTGGACACTTGAGTGAAGGTGCAGTGTTGTTCACTGATCAACATCTGGTGGTGAGTTGGATTTGCTGGAGGAGGAGGAAACAGGACAAACCAGGCTGGCAAGAAAGGTATGTTGGGTACATCAGGCAAAGCCCTTAATCAGGGACATATTTTAGAACTATCTCTTTGAGGGCTTTCCTCAGATCCCGGTGAGGCTGGGGACATGGAGTCTGAGTGTACAGTGTTATGTGTGTCTGTCTTCAATGCAGCTGCCCGTAGCTGTGGCTGTATGGTCTGATGTGCTTGTTGCGGCGACACCTCCGGAGCCTGATAGTGGATAGTGGCAGCAAGGGATGCTGTCTGTTTGAAGAATGAGTTGATCAAAAGTTGACTCAAAAGAAAAAGCTCTCGATTGACCAGTAAGGCTACATTTCTACCCTGACGTCTGGTCATGAAATCCGGAATATAAACAAAGGAACAAACTGTTGGATACAAGTGGCTGAAATTAGCCTTCTCCTGAGGGTATCTGGGCACTCACTTTACATATAGGTTGAGGAGCTTGGTGATTTAGGAGAAGCTGCAAGTAGAGTCGCTTCTCCACATTGAAAGGAATCAGCTGAGATGGCTGGGACATCTTTTTCAGGTGGTTCCTGGACACATCCCTCGGGAGGTGTTCGAGGCATTTCCCACCGAGAGGAGGCCCGGGGTATGGCCCATGACACACTGGAGGGACTTTGTCTCCCAGATAGCATTGGAAAAGCTCAAGCTACCCTAGTAAAACTAGCAGTCTACTGTGTCTGGGGCCCATGACCCGGTCCCTGATAAGTGGAAGACAATGAATACCATGAATATCCCCTTGTGTATGGGAGCATGTCAAGTTTTTAAATCTTCTCTTGGTTATTGTTAAACTAGGACATATGTACGTAAATTCTGTTATCTGTTTTTAATGTCTGAGTTATTTCAAATCTTTTGTGTTCTTTAATGTTCTTTACAGAGAAATTAGGGTTAAATGGCTTCATAACAATAATTAATAATTAAAGAATTAACTATAGTTTTTTTTCTTACATTGTGTCTGTGAGTCTGCAGCAATGGTTCACACCAAGCATGCATGCATGCACATGTTTTGTAATGTGGATTTGTAGTTTTTTGACCCACATGCAGAATCACACGGAAAACCAGTGCATTTTAACGGTTTATTTACAAAGAATCTGGAAACCTAATAACTGCAGAAGGGAGATGGTTGATTAAAACTGATGACTGATTGATTTGCTTACTTGAAGGGGAGGTGGCATGGATCTGTAGGGGTTTGATTCAGTGGGCCAAGGTTTTATGGAATTGTATTTAAGTTAATAACTAATTTGAAAAACAATGCATATAAAATTAACAAAATACAAATAGTAAGGGCCAGGAAATAACAATAATAAAAAAGAAAGAAAAAATATATACGTATATACATTTGAGGTTGTTGTCTATTTTTAATCTGAAAAAAAACCCACCCAGTTATTTTTCTTTTTATATGATCCTTTTTCTCCACTTCCTCCCAATGTAGTCTTTTGTTATCCGTTTTCCCCAATGCAATCCTTATTTGTAAAAAAGCACAGAGTTCATTTGTTCCAGTAATGAGGAAAACCAACAGAGATGCAAATCAATGTGTCTAGTAGAGGGAAATAATTAATAGGTCCTACCAGAGGCGCTTGCCACCGCTAGAAGAGGAATCGTCAGTTTTGATGACTGGGTTGAATGTTATCAAGTTACAAGCAATTTCTCTGTTGTGTGTGTCACAAGTACAGCACAGATGTGAGCAGTGAAGCTGGCTACAAGTGCATGGCAGCATCTGCTTTTATCATAAGGCATTGTGTGTTTTGGAAAGCAATTGCAGTACCTACTGCAGGTTCAACTTCTGGCACTAATATCAAGATTCGGAACAGAGGACCCAGTGATCAAGGCAGACAGACACTCAGATATCTTAAGCCTTTATTTAAAAACAACAGATCTGCAGTAACAGCAAGGACAGCTAAGGCAGGAACCTCTTCAGGAGGAAACACAGGTTAATGACCATGTTAATGTAACAGAGGATGATTATGAAGGCGTGATTCACTAACCTGGTTTTTTATAGTTCAGTCCGTGCCCAGAGAACGAGGTTGATTACAGTCGGTAGGCTGTCAAACAAGATGCAGCAGGTGCTGCCCATAGAGTCCCAGACACTATAGTCCCAGAGGACAGAGAACCAGCTGGAGATCAGATTGTAGATTGTCGTCTTCTCGATTTATAAATCGTAAGATATGTTTAACAGGTCTTTTCTCAGGTGCTGGTTAGATTTGAGAAAAGTATCCACAGAGTAAAGCCAGATATCTATGAAGAGTTCTAAGTGGTTTACCAATCTGATCTCCATTTATCAGTCAATTTTATGTTTTCCTCTTAGTCACAGATTTTGAACTAGTACTTGATCTTTCACTTTAAGCTCTGATGCTGAAACCTTGCGGTCGAAACGGATCTTGTTTTTAGTAATTTTTTTGTATTTTCGGAAGCTAACAGGTAACTGCAAGTGTGTTCTTAGCCTCTGAACACATTCAGAGTGATTCTGTCTGGATTTACCCAGCAGAAGGCCACAAATAAGAGAATCAAGGTTGACATCCAAACATCAGCTCATATGGTGAAAATCCAGTCATGTCATTTTCATGCAATTATACGCTATTATATGTTGACAAAGTCCTTCCTATGTAACTTTTCTTGTTCAGCCAAAGTATCAATCATGTCTAACACAGTCCTGTTACACCTCTCGACCAGGTTGCCTCTTGGATGATATGAGTAATTCTGATCTTGTTCATTCCGCCAAAACATTAAGCTTCTTTATGGTAAATCAGGTTCGTCATTGGATTGGTGACGTATCCTATGGGGGGAGTGTTGACCTAGTGTTTAGAGCAGTGCGCTTGTGCGCTGAGAAGGTTCCAAGTACCCGGTTTGATCCCTACAGCATGCACTCTGGGCCCCTGAGCAAGACCCTTAACCCCACACTGCTCCCCAGGTGCCACACAGGCATGTTTGTACACTGTATGAACCTCCTCCAAAAGAGCCCTGAACTGATGGTTTGAGAATGCTTTTGTATGTGTGTAGTTCATAACTCACACTATTTCAACTATTGGGAACAATCTGGCAGGAGATATTGTCTTTAGATAGCTTATCTAAAACCCACGAGTAACTTGTGCATAACTTTTGCGTACTTTATCAAGAACTTATCTCCAACACATATCAACGTATCTGACATGTTCCAGACAACAGCTGAACGTGTTTCTAACTTATAGCTATCGTTTAATAGCATATTTGCAGTGTTTAGTTGTAAAAGGGGGTTCACAGGAGGAAACTGGCAGTTCTCCTCCAGACTCCATCCCTATCCTAGGGTGAGCGAGAAGATGAGTGTAAGGGATCATCCCTATGTTCACGCTCAAGCCCACGACCAACAAACTTCCTAGCAGACATGACACTGAATCTGCTGCGACTGCAAACTCTCTTTCTTTCTTTTTCTCTTTTTTTTATTTATTCTATTTTTGTCTGTGCAATAAACAGCAGCCAGGTTAATACCAAGATCAAAGACACAATTTTATGCAGACCAGGAGCATTTCTGCTCAGCTTTAACTGATGCTTGGTAATGCCCATAAAATGATGCTTGTGCATCATTTCATGGGTATAGGTAAGGCTGTAGTTGGACATAAGTTCTGGACTCATTATGAATACACTATGTGTACGCCCAAAATTGAAAAAATACATATAAAGTTCAGGGTTCTAAAAAATATGATAATGCTACTGTAGATGTTCAAAATTGTGATGTGACAGGTTATCCAAGTACTTATTTCAGGTATTCCTTTTACCTATTAGACATTGTTTGATGCATAGTATAAGAACGACATTACTTTAAATAACAACATCACATTTTGACTTTGTGTCATACTGGTAACACATTATAATTCATGCTCAGACTAATCTGACCCACAAAAATGTGTGTAAAAATAAGGTCTGAATTTTTCGTTTTCTGTGAAAATGTGCAGGAATAACATCAAATGGGGGTAGGAAACCTAATCAGAGAAAATGCTAAGCAAGTTTGGTAAGATGAAACTAGAAAAGCTGTGGAACTACAACAAGTTTATGTAGCTAAAGATTAACCTGGATATCTACCAATTACCAGCCAAAGAGGGAAATCTAACAGAAATTATTTTAAGCTAAGAAATGAAAGACAAGGAAGTAACTAATAAGGAAACACTTCAGAGAACATAAACAACAGGATGAAAAAAGTCGAGAAATAAGCGAAACTCTAAAATATAAACACTTGAAGAATGTGACAGAGAGACCTAATTACCAAGAGACAACTGTACAGATAACCAAGAATATATCGTATATAGATTTATGCATGAAACATAAAATAATCTATGATATATTTATGTGCAAATAGATAGATAGACATAATAGATTTATTGTTTAGTTGCTTCTTGGAGAATTAATGTCTATTCTGTGTGAACTGGGTGTAAAATCAATTATTTATTTATTAAAATCTCAGTGAGAAATATTGAGTGAAGATGACCAACATAGCTCTTAGGTGGACAATGTTTTAGCCTCTGGATGTTTTCTGTCTGCAGGTCTTGGGATGAGTTTCATGACTGTGCTAACGCTGTGATGGTTGGCTGTCCAGAGGAAGCGGCAGCTGTATGGGAGTCTCTTCGCCAGGAATCCAAGAAGATGCAGTTCTCTGGAAACCTTTATGACATGTGTTCCAACCGAAACAGCCACCCAGCAGACTCCATCTCCCTGAACCAGGAAGAGATCAACCAGGAATCTCTAAGAGGATGTGCGGTGCATCTTGCCGGCTGCCTCCATCTTCTCCTGCTACCGGCTCATCTCCTACTGATGCTATTTTGGATATAGCTGCCCTGAAGAAATGGGATTAGTGTAAATAGAAAAAAAACTTTGTGTAATATTCCATTTCCCAAATCCATAGACTTTCCTTCTGCTTTTTCCTCTGCTCTGCCAGAGGTTGCATATTTGTAACTGCATGCTGAGATGGCCAAATGGTCCTTTTGATAACAAATATCTTAACTCCATTTCTGTTTCATTATTACTCTCTACCATTAATAAGTTGATCTATTGGAAATGCTCTGTACCTCTCTAGAAACAGCACAGCAGATACACTTTTAGAGATCAACAGTAAAGCCACTTGTCTGTTTTTATGCCCTTACACCTTGAAAATTAAATTGTAAGTTTGCATGTAATGATTCCAAAAAAGTTCCTACATGTGATTAGATACGTATAACAACAAAATCACAAGCAGCACATTAATATTACAAAGGATTTATGAGATGTACTCAATTGTTTGCAGAAGTTTAAGACTAAATTTGTGTTCTTGTCCTTAAAAGTGTAGTTTCTGAGCTCCAAATATTGACTGCATCAAGGATCTGTATTTTTCACCAAATTGTGGAAAGAATTAGTAAGGGCAAGTATATGTCCAACCGCAGTTGAAAATAAAAAGTTGGTCCTTTGAAATAAACAACTGGTGGAACTGACTTTATAATTAAGGAAAAAAATTTTTTTGCAGGACACAAAGAGAATACTAAAGCAAAGACTAAAGAATGCTGAATAATAATTAAAAAACATAAAAAAGAATAGTTAAGCAAGAAGTGATTCAAAGGTGATACAAATCTTAAGAGCAAACATAGAATAACATAAATCAAAGTATACCTGAAAACCCAAAGTGAAAACTTGAACAGCACCTAAAAGCAGCCGATTATGACAGTAATCTGGTTGTAAGGAGGGTGAGAAATGCTAACCCTAACCCACGAAGAGGCGGTGCAGCTTGAGACCCACAAAGAGATCCCTCTATAGACTCACCAAGGGGGTGATGGTGAGGAACGCACATCGACTTGGAGACAAGAAGCTCTCACGGAGGGGCCCCGGAGACAAGGAGCTCCCACGGAGGGGCTAAAGCTTCTATAGCTCTGACTCAAGAAAATGTCTAACAATGAGCACTGGTGTCAGAGGGTGGAAAACAGACGGCTCAGGGGTCTCTGGATGGCACAGAGCAGGCTCAGGGACCTCTGAAGAGGGTTCACAAAGAGGCCCTTAATCTATAGAAAAATCACTAAATAGCCCTTAATCTGGAGAGCAGTCACTAAGGGGCCCTTAATCTGGAAAGCAGTCACTAAGGCGCCCTATATATGCAGAGGAGGACTGAGATGGCCCTAACTTTATAACCTGTATGTTTGTCCTGAGTGTCCTGCCTGTTGTTGATTGGATTCATTCTTCCATTGCTACCACATCAAATAAAACTGTAGCTGCCTCCGTATTTGCATTTGGGTCCTCTACAAACCTCCACTCTACTTGACAGTGGTACCTTGATGCTACCCTGGGCCCACTGACACCATATTTTTGAGCTCAGCTATATATTCACCCTGCAATGAAGCAAAGCATGTACAATTTTCCGACTGGAGCCTCCACTTGCCTACATGCCAAGTGATTTTTTTGCTTCAAGAGTGAAAGTTGGGTCCTGAGAGATGCTTGTATTCTACGTGACTCCAGGTAACTGGCCTAGGATCAGAAATACTTTCAGATTAGAGGAAGCCTGAGTGATGAGCACACTTAGAAAGCAAACAGCGTTCAGCCTATTTGAAGTATGAATCCACCTTTCTTCCACCAAGTGGGTTTTACACTTGGGGCTTTAGGTTGTAGGTTTACTTTCCTCTCTTGACAAATAATCAAAGCCAGGATGACTTTAAAGGGTTATACAAAGATGTATAGAAAAAAAGAACTTATGGTTTCAGCCACATTTTAAGAGCAGAAAAAAAATTATAGCATGAAAGAAATCTAGAGAGAGCCTACAGAACTAATCTACCTTGCCAGTGGCAAGATCATAAAATATGCCAAAAAGAAAGATATTGTAAGCTTTTCTTTTTATGTCACTCAGAAGCTCAAGAGAAATAGAAACCTCCGACTCTCAGTTTTTCACCTGGATTTTAAAATACTGAGATTAAGCCCAGCAGCTAAAGGTGAAGGAGAGCACTACGGGCAATTTCAAGACTAAAGCGAAAAGAAACTAGAGCCAGCCCCCAGCTTTCTTTTCCCCTCATGAGGGACTTCACCCACAGATATGCTCGGATGGTTTAAGAGGCTTCTGGAGTTTTGAACTTTAATTAAACTGACAGAATTAGCAATTAGAGGCCTGAGTGGCCGACTCACCAAGGAGCAGCAATTTGAGAGCTCAGATAAGATGTTGTAACTGCAGGCTAAATTTGTGTAAATCACATATGGCTTAAACTAGGAGATCAGACTGAGATTGTTTATATAAATCTGGGTGGACTGAGGTGTGATCTTAATCATCATAAATCAGCAGTGTTTGGTGGGAATATGTTTTCCTCCAATGAGATTTTCTGTACAGAGATGCTGTAAGAGAAAACCCATGAAGTCTGTTATGAGATGATGTGTACTTTGGGAAAAGATCTGATTTGAGCTTGCAGTGGTTCTCAATAACATTGTTGGCCGGAGCAGAGTGAGAAATTATTTTTCAGCACTCGACATAAGACTGCACATTACATTAGTGCATCACACACTGTCCCATCAGAGAGACACTATAATAGGAGTTATTACAGTGGACAATTGGACATTACTACATATGAAATAGTTTATTTTCTTCTCTCTGCGACACTTGTTTTCTACTTCTTGTCAGAGGAAAACATAAACATTCATCTGCTCGAATTCTCATATAAATTTTATAGGCTTCAAAAGTTGAAATGTTCTCTACCAGAAGGGAAAAGATTATAATGTCATTTATATTGTCAAAAACAAAATTTCAACCCAATCTGGTCATTTTTCTGTTCTAAGAATAACAATTTGTAAAAACATTCCTTGGGTATAACAGCTCTTGACACTAACAGAAATTCAAATGAAAATCTGTAGTTTTAAACTTTTATCAAATGTATTCATCTTTTCTTTTTAAATCTAAACGGGTAGTGCCCAAGTCCAGTCCTCCAGAAATACTAACCTCCAACACACCTAAATCAAATTAGCGCTGCCCAAACCTGGCAGCGACCTATTTGGGTGAGAGAAAAATGTCTTTAAAGGACTAGAAGGTAAGCACTTTATTGTGAACAGTGTTGGACTGAGAATAATGTGGATTATGGAGAAAGTATAACATATTTAATGTAATATTAATATTGATTTGTGCAGGAGCAAATTGAAACTTAGTGACAGGTAGTGGCTTTTTAAACAATATCTGTAAAACAAGCTCAACTTGTGGACATCTTTTCAGATCTTCTTTCTAACTGTTGCTGTGTCCAGCATTCAGGGCTGGCATATAAATCGAAAGATCAGAATCAGAATAATCTGTAAATATGTGATCCTGTGACATAAAGCTAAAAGTTTAATATAATGTGGATAGAAGAACTTTGGAACCCTTAGGAACTGCTGGTGCCTTTTATTTCAAACGGAATGACTCAAGATATGTTGTGGACAGACCCAGGAACAATTTTTGTCCAAAACTGTCAAACGTTCTGTTTTAATATCCTTATCCTGGACTAACTAGCTGTTCTTCACATCAGGCCAGACAGGATTGTTCTTCCATCCTGCAGACTCAGCAGTTGGTTCTCCCAAAGGAAACTTTGTCCTTGACTGTCTTTAAATTTCATCTCTGTCCCTTCCCTGCTTTACTTTCTGGCCTTTTCTTTATATATGTTCCATTATTCTGCTCCTTATTCCTTTTTGACGGATCTTATCCTGTGCTTCATCATACAGACAGTATTACTACCTCTGTTTGCAAAGGAACGGATATTAGTGAATCTCCTCATTATTTCAACCTTGGTAATCAAAGCAGAACAATCCGACCTGAGGAGCTGTAGTAGAAGTATTCTAGAGTCCTTGGAGCAGAGGTTGCAAATATATGTATTCTGGGTTGTACTTACTGAGGAGAGCTGTTCAACACAAGGCTGTTAACAGCGGCAAATCAATGACAAATTACAAAGAATTAGAGCAGAAATAAACAACTAAATAAAAACCCGAGAGGCAGTAAAACGATTTAATTCTGTTAAAAAGACACTTTTTGTAGCTGAAGCAAACTCCTTTTAATTCGAACGATCTATTTCTCTTTCATTTATATTCACCAAAGTATAAAAAGAAAGAAAAATCTCATGAAATAATGATTTACAATATTAATATTCACATTCACATGTGCTGCATATACAAATGCTGATCAGATGCAGTATAAACCAGATACAATGAACTGCATGAATTAGCTACTTTTGGTTGAAAGCAAGTTATGGTTGCATTTTTTTCAATTACATTATTTTCAGACTTGTGTTTTATTTTAAAGATAAAAAATAAACCTTAAACAGAAGAAATCGAACAGGAGTTAGAATCAGTTCTAGTCACCAAATTGTTTCATACAATGAAAGATTTTACTTCAGTTCCAGTTTGCTCCTGATTAAAACGTTAAATATACTAATAAAAGGAAATAAATATTTTTGCAATATATTTTCTTGCTAACATATATGTTAGCCCTCATGTTTCTAAAGACATGGTTGGATTGGTTGAAAAAAACCTGTTATTCATCCAGGGGAAGATTGTGTCTCTGTGTTTACCTTTTTTTTTTTTGTGTACGGTGCTAAGTAGCGTTGACCTAGGGGTCAAAGGCTAAACAGTTTTTGTCCAGGATTTATTGTGCCTCGAGAGATTTAAGTAATCATTTCCTGACCTGGACAGAGAAAATGGCAGCTTTCATGTTCCTATCTACAGATCTGTTTATTTTTTTAGGACCTATACTTTTATGAGGATGAGCCAAACTACATAGGGAGTGATGTGCACAAAATGCACTAAATAAAAACAATGTAGGAGATAACCAGCAGCCCCTGTAAAAGGTTGACATTTTTTTATTTGCCCTCTGCCAAGCAGTATTTATTGTTGAGAAACAGCTCAGGTTCTGAGCCTGCTTTGTTCCTAGCAACCAGAAGTGATCCATAGGAAGTGTTCAGGATCGTGAGGCGAGGCAGGGTGTCAGACTGCCCCTCAGACCAACTGATCCACCTCCTGTTGTTATGTAGGCTCATCACTACCATGAACTGGGCCGGTGACAGTGATATCGTCTTCACAGACAGCTCGGCTGAGTGGCAGTCGGTTATGTAAAAGCAGAAGAGTGGGGAGATAACATACCACCTGAGGGTCACCGGCGCTGTTTTTTGATGTCTCCGCCACTCAGAGATGGGAAGTAACGAAGTACAAATACTTCGTTACTGTACTCAAGTAGATTTTTCTGATATTTTTACTTTACTTTACTACTTATTTTTATGGCGACTTTTTACTTCTACTCCTTACATTTTTACACAAATATCTGTACTTTCTACTCCCTACATTTAAAAAAATTGGCTCGTTACTTTAGTTTTGAATCATTTCAATGGAGTTACCGTTATTATTTTTCACGTCATCAATACCAAATTCCATCTAATTGGATGGAATCTACGTTGCATTTGACGCACCACTACAAGATGAATCGACAGATTCGGCGGTATTCATTCGCGGCAAATCATTGCAGCTTGGTGGCGGTGGCGTTAGCATAGTAGTATGGACGACGAGATGATTGAAAATGAACACAACGGAGATCTAGTCCTATTGGCAGACATCCATTTAAAATGTAGGCAATGGCATGAAAAAAGTGGTTTCTACTTTTACTTTTATACTTTAAGTAAATTTACAAGCCTGTACTTTGTTACTTTTACTTGAGTAAAGAGGTTTAATCAGTACTTCCACTTTTACCAGAGTATTTTTTAACACAAGTATCTGTACTTTTACTCAAGTACGGAAAGTGAGTACTTTTGCCATCTCTGCCGCCACTTACCTGCTGCGGATCAGTCGAGAAACAAAGGAGCAGCCAAGAAGTCCTTGCTAACTCTGGAGGAGCTGCAAAGTTTCA